GGAGAAGTGGCCACGAGATACAAGGAGAATCCGACTTCAGCAAGACAACGCCCCCGGACATGTTGCTGCTGGTGTATTGTGGAAGAACAGTACACTCACTCTGGTTGTTGAAAACCAGCCCCCGCGAAGCCCTGACTTGAACTTCTTGGACCTTGGTTTTTTTACTGCAATCCAGGCTTTACAGCAGCAAAAAGTTGCGCAAACAGTGGACGCCCTTATCACCAACGTGTCCAGTGCATTTACTGAGCTTAGTGTGGAGACTCTAGATAACGTGTTTTATTCGTGGATGCTGTGCATGGAGCAAATAATGCTCTGTGGAGGAGGGAACGACTATGCAATCCAGCACATCGGAAAGGAGCGTCTACGACGATTAGGTATTTTGCCTCGAGTGTTAGCATGCTCTGAAGAGGCAGTGCTCGCTGCTCGATGCGTCAATAACTGAAGTAAGGGAAATTAATAATAAAATTCCTAAAAGTCATGAAATTCGAAGACTCCAAAAATCAAAACTTGGCAGTAATTTGGGACGGAGTGGTACTTTGAAGATTTTACATTTCTACACCAGTACTACGTAGTACACGCACGATACCACATACTTTGTGGAGTGGTACTACATCTTTTTGCAGTGACGTGAACGAATACCCGATATATTTGGCGGTGTGCCCTATACAGTACTAGTATATAATTAGCCATGTGGCCGTATAATTTGGCACACCGAGGTCGTGTACCCAATATATTTGGCGGTGTGCCCGATATAATTGGCCGTGTGCCCAAGCAATTGCCCATGTGCCCGAAGAAAATTGTGTCGTGTGCCCGATGAAAATGGCAATAAAAAGTCAATTCAATATAGAAATGCTCGTTAAACGATGCATGCAGCATCATTGCTGTGACGTCACATAACAACGCCCATGTAGCCCATGGCCTCGGCGCGTCCATCGAGGGTGCGTACCTTGAGGTAAATCGAAAAGTGAGCTCTGCGCGCGACATATTCAAATTTTGGACAGTTCAAGTATGGACGAAACTTTGGAGTACGGTATAGGGGCAATACTTCAATTGACATCATAACCGGAGTTCGTGGGGGTGCAGCTACGTCCATGCTGTGCGTTCCTTGGTGATTCGAATAATGCGCATTCAATATGTTGGATTAATTGAGTTTGGATTATCATTTATATGACATTCCTCCGCGAGGGCCGATACTAGAACCACATGTTGTGGAACCGTTTCGCCAATTGTAACGCGCCTGCTGGACCAGAGGCGGTGTGTAATCTTCGGTTTTTACTTCGCTCAACGCTTCACACCTCGTGCAAGTCACCTAATGACTACAAATAATTGCCTTGACTTTCGACAGCTATTCCAACTTTGTATTGATATTATTTAGGAAAATATACCGTAATAACGATAGAACTGGACAAGCCCAACAGAAGTTACGGTTCAGATTTTCGATTGGTGAAAAATTAATCGCGCAAAAGAATTTAAACCAACCGGCCTTTTTGTACGGAGGTTATATGGAACCTTAGATGCTTCGACCGATCTTCTTCGAAGTTCGGTCGTCTCCCTTGATATCCGGATTCCCCAGGAGGGACGGATAAATGCATTCAATATGTTGGAGGAAAGCGCGCGTAATATGAACTTAAACTATACTTTATTCAAGTATAAATATCGAATTCTTGCCGTCGTGCGTACATGATGTTTCCACCAAAACTGATTACACTCACATGTCAATGAAACATACTACTATTAATAGTACGTACTATTAATAGTACAGTAAGTCAGTAATTATATGAGTTATTCCATTTTCATCGGGCACACGATGCAATTCATCGGGCAAATGGTCAATTACTTGGGCGCAATTGCTTGGGCAGACGGCCAATTATATCGGGCACAACGCCAAATATATCGGGCATTCGTCCAAGTTACCGTTAACTACACAATGGTGTAGTAACGTAAAATGCCAATTTATGACATATATTAACCCTATAGGACGGGAAGTCAAACGGAAGTCAAGTATACATAAGAATAGACTTGATTATAGTAAGGTTTCGAGAGTTTCTATCACCCAGGACTTCAAGTTAAGAGGTACTGTGATCAGAAATGGAGTATTTTTACTCGTTTACAGTTACAGTCCAGGGATAAAATCGAGTCCACGATCCTGACGTTTGATTGGCTTATCCCAGGTGATAGATTTTATCCATCACCTGTAAGGATCGTGGAGTCTGATTGGTGCATCTCTTGTTTAATCCAATGTCGAATATGTATTGGCCAATATTTCTTAGAAATTGCCAAAATTTCGAAGATTTTGGCCTTTTTTATGACATACAACGTTTCGTTTGATTTTGAAAATTAGGGGTATCTCCGTCGTCCTGCTTCATCATTTTCGAATTCTAAAAACACCTAAAGATAGATTTCTTAGGCGAACAACGTTAAGTGAAGGTCTTATGCTCTTTGACATGATTAGTACAATCCTCGTTTTTTTGCACTCGTTCAACAATACTACGTAGTATAAACATGGATTATGAAATGCACATATAATTTCCGTGTTTTAACCTTCATGTTTGTATGCGATTTTGCTTAATTTGGGGGAGGGGTAAACTTGCCAATAGTGAGCGATTGTGAATACAGTAGTACCGGTATGGCAAACAACAGTCGTGATGACATGATTGGTTAAAATTTCCAACAAAGTGAATTCCAACTCCGTTTTCCACCAAAAGTACACGACGAGGTGTGTTGCGGTAGCGCGGGCGTCCAAAGTTGGTGTACTTGAGATGTCTGTGTGCATATGTGCTGGGGATGTAGCGAGGTTCGCATAAGACTCGTGTATGTGAATATGCTGCAAGACTGAATTGTCGTCCAATATTAACTCTGCTCAGGACATTGCGTCATCATAGGGTATTATGATTCACGAATATATTTGGCGAGGGAATGTTCACATTTTGTCATTCGGGTAAGTTGGGGCGATTTAATAAGTAAGCTACACACAATATTGTGCTTTCGAGTGAAATTTCGTGGTTTCTCGTTGGAATTTAAATCGATTTGATTGGCTACCTCAGACGAGCTCAAATTATTAGCCAATCAAAACCTTCTCAATGAAATTGAACCAATCAGGTCGATTGTGGATCGGTTTTGTTGGTTGGCGCGATTCGATTGCACCCCCTCCCCAAATTTGTATCAAATCGACAATATATAGTACCGTTTAGCTTGTACACAAAAGTCAAGGCACGTGAAGCAACATGACATATATTAAAACGTGACCGACCCCCGCTCCGCTTCTAGCGCTCGGTAGTCTTGCGGCGGGTCCACGGTGGGAAGGCGAAGAGGGGGGTCCACGGGCCCGCTAGGAAGTCGCGGCCGCACGAACGACTCGTTGGTGGCGCGCATCCCTCCGTACGGCGAAGACATGGGCTGCTGATGGAGCGATCCGTTATGTTTGGCATGGGGGTCCACTTGATGGCTGGTGGGAGTGTATGGGAATGCCACGGAGGCGGGAATCACATAGGCGGTGGTCGGTTCATTTGTGATCTGCTTGGTGTGCTGTTCCAGGTGCAACGCATGCACGTCGTTGTCGTCGTCGTCGTCGGGACGGCGGGACTTGCGCACAAGGATAATCACCAGCATGCCGAGCGCAACAAGCGCGACCCCGCCTGCGATAAAGTACGGCGCGTTGCCCCATGATGTGCCCTTTTCGGACGGAGCGTCGGGAGTCGTGTTGTTGGTCGTGATGTCGGAAGTACTAGACGATGTGGTCGACGGAGCCAGTGATGCAGTGGACGTGGATGGGGAAGTCGTCGTCGTAGGTGGAGACGTGGAAGTGGTGGTGGTAGGCGCGCTGGTCGTGGTAGTGACAGGGGCTTGAGCTACAATGACACATGTGAGCGGGAACCCAAAGGACAACGACGGCGGTGCTTACCACAGTCAACCGAGGACGCGCCAAATGGACACATTCCGCTCGTGGGCGATGTGTAAGAATAACAGTCCACGCGACTTGCCGAGACCCACACAAAACATGGCGCTTGGATGAGGGCGCGTTCGTTGGTCAGTGGCTCGATACCACCACCGAGACAACCCTTGGTGCAGACTTCATACTTGCCGGCAGCCGACGCCACGGCACATACTGCAGAGAGATATGTCAATGTGCTGGATGCATCGAGGCCATATACACGTCGTTACCGAAGGAAGCGAGGAAGAACGCCTTCATGTGCTGCATATAAGATGAATGTACGCGGATAAGATCTACCGCGTCCGCCCCGTTTTGCCGAATGCTGCGGGGCAATGCTTCGCACATCAGGTATCGGGTGAGAGGAAGCCGATGACAAATATCACGACCAATTTAAGATGATCTAATGTATACAAACCCATATATAAAGGTACAAATACACGTTCGTCGTAGTCGTTCAATGCTACAATAAGAACTAGATTAAAGTATGTCTTGTACTCTGTCCTATTACACCACAACTGCATGTTTCTATTTTGTCTTGTTGTTTGTAAAGTCAACACCTCAGCCAATCCGAACGCACCATGTTGGACACTATCACGCCGAAAATTGTACAAACTCGAAAAACGGTGAACTATACACAAATAATATTGTATTGCTTACAAATATCCAGTGAATACTATAAACATTTGTTAAAGTTGACCAAGTTTTGACGTTTTTGGCGCATTCGAACAACCGTCCTCCTTCCAGTAAAGGTGAGTTCAAGCCACCTTACCCAATAACCAAGCGTGATTAGAACATTACGACGCTGTAACCTTAAGCCTATCTCCGACTTGGGCTGTAATCTGGCGCACGAACGTTAGTTACCATCATACAAGATGGAGAGAGATACACTGGACGTCTACTTAACGATACTTAGCTTCACGAGAACGCCCAAAGCACTAAATCGACTGCAAGGGACTGTAATTGGCTTATAAGACTTGCTATCGAAAGTGCTATGATTGGCTGCTCAACACAACCCAGCAACACTAAGTTATGGTGCCAACTTTACTGGACACGCAAGCACGGATGAGAGAGATGCTTGCTCTAAACAGATGCTCCAAGCCACTTAGGGTGGTATCTGCCGTCATGGCTGAGGGTTCTTGGAAGAAGGGTCGTTATGGGCGGCTCCCACGGCTTCCGCCACAGAAGTATACCCATCTTGCTTGATACATGCCGTCAATTCATGCTTGATGCGTGCCTACGTCGACATAATGTGAACAACTACTGTGCTGGGTATCCACACTCGAATGAACCAACCACTGCCAACGGTCCGTTGAACACCAAGCTAGAGTACAACTGCACCAAACTCGCACCCGCCCGGATCTTATCGTACGCGTCTTGGCCTGTGGCCACTCCCCCCACTCCAATCAGTGGAATCTTGCCCTCCGTGAGCTTGTACATGGAGTGCAGCACTGTTGTGGACAGCTCTTTCACCGGCGCGCCACTCAATCCTCCCGTCTCGGCCGCATGGGGGCTACATACAGGTAGTATTCATCTTCAACATCACCCATACATATACTAGTATCTACTCCGGAGTATAGTCCAAACGAATGTTCGAAATTCGAGTCGGGGTGTTCGAAATCGAATGAAATTTGAATCATCAACGCCCAGAACAAGAATCAAGTGTGGCCAATCAAACGCTTGCTTCACCCATGCCACATCGAATTCGTAAGTTAGTGACTGAAATTAGTGTAACACAATATGTTTCCATCCAAACCCATTCCACATCGAATTCGTAAGTTAGTGACTGAAATTAGTGTAACACAATATGTTTCCATCCAAAACAATTCAGTCGTGCAACCAAAATGGAATCCAAGGATTCTCGTGATCAGGTTAGAACACGAATAATACCCATATGTTGGCTGAATGCTTATAAGTAGTAGTACATATATATTTGCTTATAAGTAGTTGTACAATGAATGACGTTCCCTTGGACAGAACGAGTATGTTGTATCCATACATACTTCAAATCGAATGAATCGACAGACAATCGATCGAAGAACCATCAAACCCCAGAACACGAATCAAGTGTGGCTAATCAAACTCTCGCTTCACCGATTCCACATCGAATTGGTGTTGTAGTGACTGAAATTAGTGTAACACAATATGTTTCCATCCAAAACAATTCAGTCGTGCAATCATCAATAAGGAATCCAAGGATTCTCGTGATCAGGTTAGAACGCGAATAATACCCATATGTTGGCTGAATTCATTATATATAAGATAAGTACTATTTTGTTCACAGAAAGAATCCAGTATGTCTACACATACCTGAGCAACGATTCTGGGCGGGAGATGGTAGTGTTAGACACAATCAGCCCGTCGATTTGCAGAGCCAATGCCACTTCGGCAATGTCTCGCATGTCGTCGGACGTCAAGTCCGGTGCGATTTTGACCAATAATGGAAGCCGCTTCCACAGCTTGTTGCGCGCGTCCAGCACCGCAGACACCAGCGCATGCAGTTCCTTCTTGCCCTGGATGTATGCAGCATATACAGTAAGTACTCACGAGTTAGGGACTACGACCTTGTTTGAAATCGGATTGATTTCATCATATATATATATATGAAATCAAACCGATTTACTTGACAATATATATATATATATATTGTCAAGTCGCGATTCGAAACTGTGAAGTGGGGTGCTCAATTGAATAAGCAGGTACCAAATCGACAAGACAATCGATATACGACCAATCAAAAGCCACAACATGAATCAAGTGGCCAATCAATTTCTCGCTTCAACCATTCCATATCGAATTAAAGAAGTGTGTGAAGTTATTGTCGATTTGATAGTACAAATTTGGGGAGGGGGTGCAATCGAATCGCGCCAACCAAACCATCTGATTGGTTGAATTTCATTGAGAAGGTTTTGATTGGCTAATAATTTTGAGCTGATCTGAGGTAGCCAATCAAATCGATTTAAATTCCAACGAGAAACCACGCCACAACACCATGAAATTTCACTCGAAAGCACAATACTTGGTCAATGTTTACATACAAATTTCAATACAAACAATCAATCGATCGATGGATTTGGCGACTCAGCAAAGAGCCAACTTTTGGCTGAGAGGACAAGAAGTCATTACTGAGCGATAAAGCTATTTACCTGAAGGGAGCGGAGACCGGGAGTGTTGGGCGACGAGATGTTAATGACCAAGTAATCGCCAAACGGTCCTAACGTTTCCACGCCGCGCACGTAGTCTTCCTACGAAAAACAACTGAAAATCTCCAAAAAAGACCCAAAATTGACCAATGGGATGTCAGAAAAATAAATTCGTACAATCGGGCTGTCGGACGATTTGTTTTTGCCCAAATTCACCCCCAGCGGCCCCCTGCGATACTGTTTCGAGGTCGTGGTGGACAACGTCCAGTACTTGTACTTCTCGAGACGTTCCCTTACTTTGGCGTGGCCTTGGCTGTTGAACCCATATCGATTGATCACTCCTCGATCTTCCACGAGGCGGAACACGCGGGGCTTCGGGTTGCCATCCTGAGGGAGCGGCGTGACGCTGCCGATCTCGACAAACCCAAAACCCATGTCCAGCAATCCCTGCATGGCATCGGCATGCTTGTCGAAGCCGGCAGCGATGCCGATCGGGTTGTCAAACGAAAGACCCAGCAAGGACACATGCAACGACGGGTCGTCGGGAACCGTGTCCTAAGGAAAGGTTGGTTGACGGGATGGGACGGCTTCGTACCTTGACGCTCCATCCGTATTTGGCAGCCTGGACGGCAAGTACATGCGACGTCTCTGGGCCCAGCAACCGAAGCAGAGGCATGAGTACCGGATCCATAAACGTCGTGAGGAACGACTGGCGGAACGTGTACAAGCCAAGCGCCGTCGCACCCAAAAGGATCGGACCAACCGGTGAAGACGACCCTGTGGGAATGGAGCTCATGCAGCGACGACTCGTTCCATGCATAGCCAGTGCGGATCGAGCGGCGGGGCGAGCGACGACGTTCAGCACGCGATGCATGGTGATTGTTGGCTGCGATATCTTCTGTCGGCGCCAAACGTGACTGGAGTGGTCCTTCCGGATACATACAATTTTTCCGGTCAGTACTCGGTTGGTCTAAAAATAAGAAAACTCAGAATGGGTAGACCAATCAAAACGTCGTATTTTGAATTCTATCTCATTCGCTACACTAACTCGTTTTCATTCCTGGTCGATACATAATTCAATTAGGGCACAGCCAATGAATAATGACTACACTGTAGTCAAACCAGCATGGAGTTGTTGCCTGACACACTGTGAATGAGGCGACCAGTTGTCGCCAGGGTAGCCGATGCAGCCTCCATCGACAACCTCTTAGTCATGGCCGCATCAGCTTTATCACTAACCACTTCGCCATACTTCGAAGTATTTAGCAGCATACAGCATGAACGGTTGTGACACCACCCACACGTCATTTTCGTGTAGCACGGACTGTGGAATGGTTGGCTGGTCCACCTCGTTCCTACACCTCGAGCATCTCCAACGGTAAATTCTAACCTACATATTGCTAAAGCATAGGTTAAAGTCAAACTTCGTTTTTACGGTTGTTATTTTGGTACTATCCGGAGTTTTTAGTTCCGCAGAATTTCTATTTTCGCGTGAAATAGCAACAAACCCTCCAGATAGTGTAAGAGTACTATATACTAGTATCCGTAACTTCGAATTGACAGAAATAGAAATAAAAACACCGTTGGAGATTTCTCTAATAATATCGCAAAAATCAATTTTCACTGGATTTACAGCTTTCTCGTGTAGCCATATAGCCGTACCGTAGCTCACTGTCAATACCAACTATCGTGCCCCTATGCACAGAGTACTTCAACAATACTCGCTGGGTTAAGTGGCTGAATCACCAGTGGGATGACTTGTGTTACTAGCCCAATCCTGCTCCATCTCTTGAGATTTTTACTATTCCGTATCGATCTATTACCCCGAATAGTGTTATTAATGTTATTGACACCGCATACTTCTATGTAACGTTCGTTTCGAGTATGGTTATTGTGTGTTCTACTCTATATTTCCATGGGCGGTTCTTAAATCGCCCCGATCCGAATGTCCATGAAATGACCCCAATTACAAAAAGTGGGATTTCTCTCACAAAAGAATCGATAATAATCACCCTATTATGACGCAGTTTCCTGAGCTGAGTCAATGGACAATCCAACCTTGCAGCATTTAACATAGGAGTGTGAAGGACTCGTATGCGAGTCTCTCCGCATCCCCAGCACACATGCACACCTATGTACACACAGACATCTCAAGTACACCAACTGGACGCCCGCCGCTACCGCAACGTGCGACTACACGTCGTCGTAAGCTGTGGAAAACGAGTTGGATGTCCATGTTTGCCCAAATCTTCGAAATTCTAACCGATGAAATCATCGCAGCTATTTGTTGGCGATTTTCACAATGGCTCTCAATTGGCAAGTTTGACCGGAAAGCACACTACAACATCGTGAATCCACCCGATTTGACCCCCCCCGAGTCGTCGATGATAATTAATGCCATAACTGCATCCATCATTTCCCCTTCGCCGGTTCTTCACGTCTGCGCCCCCTTCATCCCCCATCATGATCGAATACGATATCAACGTAGTGTAAATGATACCACTACCGCCTATGCCTCGGATTGTCGAACCCGTACACTCGGATGAGCTTTCTCCCTCCCGCCGCAACGTACACCTTGGCGACGGCGGTGACAAAGTCCTTGGGACCGTTCACGATGACGTCGACGTGGTCGAGCGAGTTGGGCGCTATTTCGAGGAACGTTTCTGCCGTGACTTTCGATGCATAGTGAATCGAGCATTGGTCCCACGCATTCAGGTCCCCCTGCCGTGATTGGAACGCGGCGATGTCATCAAACGTCGGCGCGCACTGCAATGCGACGACCCGGCCGCGATACGAGTCCTTGACGCTGTGCAGGCCTTGCATCATGGCGACGAAAGGCGCGGCGCCGATGCCGTAGCTGATGAGCATTACGTCAGTGGGAAGGCCGGTGTCGGGGGTGTCAATCTCAAAGTTGACGTTGGACGCGACCCAGAACAGCTTGAGCTTCGAGTCCATGGCTTGGCGGCACAGCCAGTCGGACGTGGCCACGTCGACGCAAATGTCCAGGGCAGACGTGGCCCGGTCGTGGAACGACGCGATGGGAAATATCACTTGGGTGTGGCCCGAGCCGAGGAGGATCCCGTCGCCGGGTTGAAACCGCAGCGGAAAGTCATATGCGAGCGTGAGACGGCGCGCCTTGGACGACACCACGTCGACGTTGGTGATGGCACACGGAATGGAATCTTGCACCGGGTCGGGGGCGTACCGCACGACCACCGGCAGCACGAGGTAGAAGAGCAGGCAATACGCCGTCAAGTACGCTTCCTTGACATGTCGGGACCACGACGACCCGCTGATGATCTCGAGCGTCTGGATCAGCGTCACCCCCAACGTCGCATAATCTTGTCGCTTGACGCCAAACTTGAGGTGACCGGACGCCAGCGCTTGCATGCGCTCGACAAGGTTGCTGGCAGACACGACCCCCGTCATGACTTTGATGATAGACGCCAGTGATTTGCCCTGCAACGTGAGGCTAGAACGGAAGATCCCCCGCAACGACGGATCGGCTTTGAACAGCGTCGCGTAGAACGTCCGGTGGAAAAACTTGTCTGGGGACCCGTGCTGTTCCACGTCGAACGCAGACGTGCCCGCACACACGGCGGACCAGTTGGCTTTGATCAATTCCACGTGGCGCGGCGTGAGCACTGGCGTCTTGATGTCGAATGGCATGTGCCGCGCATACTTTTGCGCAAACCCGGGTGTGATGCCGACGCTGCCGTCCGGCGTGGCAAAGGTAATTTTCGAGTGTTTCGACGACAGAGTGCCGCCCATGGCCAAAGCGAATGAAGAAGTAACAGACAAGTTGGAAACGAACTTATATATTGACGTTATTATTAACGTGAAGTTTCCAAAAGTGTCGTTTCGTTTCTTGTCAACATGATCAATGCATGGACAACCAAGATGTGGTGCGTACAGACCAAAGTATGTCGAAGGACGAGGAGCATTACTACAGTAATCCTTGATCATCAATTCTCGACCGATAGACCGCTACGACGTAACGAGATGCGCGGCGTCTAACTGTGCAAATGTGTCGGGTGTGGTTGGTGGCGTTAATTTTTTCAAGTGCCAGTCAACGTGTTGGGCTGGCGTCACCTACAACGCAACCATCCACTACCTGCGATACAGTGGTTCTTTTTGCCGTTGAATGTGTGGATTCCCCGGCAACAGGTACTGTACATAAGAGAGGTAATATAATAGAGAGGTATTAGCTCAGGGAATAAAGCACCTCGAAATAGCCCCCCCTCCGGTGGTAGAGTAGTCCCCGGTCGTGTAGGCGAGAACTATAAGCTTTCCATTTACTGCATGGCGTTATCGGAGGTTGAGCAGCTCATTGCAATGGGAGTAGCCCTGCAAATTTGCTTTATAGTGTATTGGACCTCTCAAGCATTGTTATCGCCTGGACACGAGCTGTTGTCCAACGATTGCGAGCACCATCGTCTTCGATGCAACGTTGCTTAACGTTATGCCCATGTTTTGGCACTTGGGGCACTTTGCTGGGTTGAAGCTGCATTATTTCGAAATGTGCCACCGACCAAAATTGAATACACACTGTGTCGAACTATCGGTAGTCAAGGGGAACGTTTTAACGATCGTTCGTTCGTCGTAGCTCATTTTATTTAGGCATGTTGTTGGCGACCTGGCCAGGCTTTGCTGCTTTGGAAGGCGTGATCTCGTTCAGTCAGCTCAATGCCACCCAATGCACTGTCAGTACACGACCAAGCATAGCATCAGATTCAAAATCTTTGAGTTGGGAGCGCCTATAATGGACCCGCGACTACACGACAGAGAGAAACTCCCATTTGCAAGTCTAAGCCGTACATTGTGCAACTGCCATGCGACCTGGGTAAAAGCTCCACTTCGTCGACTTTACCCCCCGAGTCGGCTGGAGTGTCCATGTGTGTCCCTGACAACGATAGGAACTCGTTCAAGCTCTCGTTTTCGGTAAAGTACTCATGGCTGGTCAGTGGCCGTCGTCGGTGACGATGAAGTCGACACCAAATTGAAACTGTTGCTCAACGACGTGTGTTGACGAGTCCACCGGCGATCCCCCACCACCTGTGCAGCCAAAACCGAGACCACGCTGCTTTGCGAAAGCGCAATCGACGCTCGTGGCGCCACTCGCGAAGGGCATGTACTCGCTCCTCACGAAAGAGATCAACAAGCAAGACCGGCCTGTTCACGGTAACCAACCAGGAGGAAGACACGTACTCATCAACCCAATCTCTTTTCAATCGTCTGTGGGGGCAACCTATTGGCCAAGTTCCGAGCCATCGGGCGCTTCCTTGACCATACTATCATCGACGACCTAGTGCTGCTGCCATTTCACCCGTGTGGTGTTCTAGGTGCTGCCTGGGTATTCAATCTTCATGGAAGATAACTGGGGTTTGGACCTGGCCTTGCATTGAAATACGATCAAAACTGCAATGATTACATGGAACCATGACATTCGGGATGAGCGACTTCCAGCACCCACAAATGGGGCCATTTCCAATCGTGCACTCGCGTTTTATTCGGCTTGCCGATCTACCCCATCCGCGACTGACTACGCGATGGTTGGTGCGTGGGTTGGTTTAATTGTAATAATACTCACTAACTTGGTTATTCCTTATCTAGGTGTAGATCTGTATATATCGGATTGGCTGAATATGTCCTGTTCTCCAGCTGTGATTGGGTGATAGAAACTGATGCTTACATACTACATAACGTTAATGAAACACCAGTAGTTGTCGAAGTACTAAATACCCTTGCAATGTTGATTAAACTATTTAATATTTTTGTTATTATTTTGATTTTTATAAAAAGTGCCAAAGGGACTCGATACACCGAGTAATAATTGATGGCCAGCCAACACGACAAACGTGAGCGATCGAGCCCCACACCTTTTTATATATCGCAACTTGTTTGGATCTTCCCACCAACGCACGCCTTCACGCGGCTCAAAAGCAGTGCAGGTCCAAGCTCTATTTCTAATTAAGTTCAAATATTGTGGATTCGATACGAATTTCCAGACCCTGTCGAATCGAATCTCGCCGCCGAATCGAATCACGAATCGAATCACGAATCGACGCTATTGGCTAATCCATTTTTGAGTGGATTTGATTGGCTCTTGCAGAAAGGACAAGTATGTTCAACCAATCAAAAACTCCGACGTGATTCAATATTCAGACAAACCAGGCGAATTTTGGAAGTTTATAGCGAATTCACAATACTAACAGTAAACTAAATAATCTTATCATATCCTCTCGTATTACCGCACGAAATTAGCCAGATCTTCTTTTTAACACGTAAGTACTGTCTTTGATCTTCTTTTCACAATCTTCGAACTGCCCAAATATTCCAAGGTTAAGTCAACTCTGTCATGAGTTATGCCTATGTACTGCTACGTACTACTACTAGTAGTATGTGTTAATCTAAATTATTACTTTAAAGTATATTATATAGAATGAATACCCGATCGTGGTATGTATACAATGGCAACGACGAAGTGTTTGTGATTCTTTTTATATTCGCAATATCACCACTAGCAACTAACTGGATCGGATTTTGATGCCGAGCTCCTGGCGCCGCCGCGGTTGGTCCGCCTTGAGCGGCGCGGGGGGATGCTCCAGCCCGAAGAACAGCGTCTTGCTCAGTTGCAACCCCATCTTGTCAAGCCATTCCACCACGCGCATTGCAAGGTACTCTACCACGAGAGTTAATATATATATATATTTACCATGCTTTCTCCTATTTTCCGACTAGGACGAAAAATATAGTTCACGCCATGCATTACCTGGCTCTGCGCCTGTTCCCAAACCATACGCTTTGTGGTCGAAAATCGCGACGAATTTCCACGTAGCAAACTCTTCGTCGGGGATTTGCATCCTACATCATCCAAGTGTGAATATATATATATATATATATATATATATATATATATATATAAGTCGTGGAATTGTTTTTCAAGAGTACCATCAACAAAAAATATTTTTTTGCAACACGATGTATAGTCTGAGAGATGAAATCAAAATATAACATCGAACAAATGGTTCAACAAAACGACATATACATATAACGACCAACCCCATCCAATGTTCCACGATATATATATATATATATATAACGATCAACCCCATATTACTACCTGCCACACACGAGCAACGTCCACTTTCGTCAGTCGTCGCCAACTCCAACGCCAATATCCATCATCATACATACACAACAATATATTCAAAACAACAAAGTCCGCACAATATCTATATATATATATATATATATATATATATACGACCTCGTCCTACCATACAAAACTATATATACATCCTCCCACGGAAGACCATATATGAAAACCTATATATATATATATATATATAAACGTCTCCTCCCACGGATGTCCTTATATATATATATATATGAATGTACGTACCGTCGCTGCAGTCTGTGTCGCACAGTGGCGACCGTGTCGGTCGTCAACACGTGTACGAGACACGGCGTGCTATGGGTGTGGATCCACGCTGTCGCAGACGAATTGAAGTGCATGACCCCCACAACCCCCAGCCACGTTGTATCATTTCCTTCTTGGGGGGGGACGGAATCCACGTACAGGGGCGCGCTGGGGCTGACAAAGACGCTGGCAACGGCCGTGTCTGGCGGGTGGATCTTGACGATCGTGCTGCGGTCTCTTGTCTCGACGAGGTGCCACGTCATCACACTCCCATCCTCCTCGTCGTTATCTTTTGGCGGCAAAATGTGCGCTTGCAGTTTGACGAGCGCGTCTTCGACCGTGTCGGCAGGATCGAGCAATAGCTCGTGGACGTGTAACGACGCATGCAACCACCGGGGCTCGTACGGGGACAGGTGCAGCGTCCACTTGACCATGCGTTCGAGGTCGAGAATGGAAAACGAAGGCGGAAGCACTTGGTAGTAGAGCGAGAGGGGGTGGGGGGACGCCTGGGTCGCGTCGACCATGCCCCGCAGCGTGAGCTGGCGACTGGTGCGATGCAGAAACGGCGCGTCGAGTTTTGGTCCAGACGAGGACGAGGAGGGGAAGAGGCGGACGTGGAGGGCGTCGGGGATGGCGGCGACGTGCGCGGCCAGTTGGGCCACGATACTGTCATATGACTGCGAAAGCAGGCACGTTAGCGTTGTCGCCACCACCTTGTCCTGTTGGTCAAGACACAATAGAGGAGCACGGGAGGGGCTGCAATTGGCTGGCAATACCACCTCGTAAAACGATATGTCGACTCGGTTCAAGAGGTAGTCAAAGTATAACGGCGCCGACGGGTATGTAGGCGGCGGCACGTGGTCCTGATCGTTGCGATTGTTTGGGGGAGTAATCGACTCTTGCACGACGATAATATCGCCATGCTGGAGCTCCGAGTCTACTAGTGTGGCGTGGGGATTGTCGAGCAAGTTGATGGATTCTGGCTGCAGCAGCTCGTACATGTCCAGGGGGGCGTCGGGTGTACGCAAGTGCTGCTGAATCAATCGACTCAATTCAGACACTGTCATGTCACTACAAACAATCACATGAGTTTGCGATAAGTATTGTCGATTTGATACAAATTTGGGGAGGGGGTACACTCGAATCGCGCCGACCAAACCGATCCACAATCGATCTGATTGGTTGTTGAATTTCATTGAGAACGTTTTGATTGGCTAATCATTTTGAGCAGGTAGCCAATCAAATCGATTTAAATTCCAACGACAAACCACAACACAATGAAATTTCACTCGAAAGCACAATACTTGCTTTTGCACATTTTATTAACTCTCCAAAGATCAAAATTTCGATGAAACGCATTCCATATCAACATATCTCAGTAGGCATATTTTACATTCAAATTCAGACAACAACGATAAAATGATATATTTGGCGAAAGTCACCACCAACAGTCTGAACGACGTAAGTTATAAAAGGACACTGCAGCAAAAGTCCATCGTGTAGTGATACATTACGTACGTTGACACGATGACGTTTCCGACATACTCCAGTCTGTCGGCCATGACGGGGACCGTGGGATTGTAGTGCTTAATGAACAGCAGAATCGCATGATCTGACACGGGAAGGGGCACGCGGTCGGCCGCTACCGGATCGAGTTGGGGCGGCGCGAGGTCGTCCAGGGAGTCGTCGCTTTCGTCGTCGGTCGCTGGAGCTGCCGGCGGCGGCGGCGGTGTAAATGTTTGCATGGGAAAGCGTTTGATCACGCCCGTGCAGCTACAGGTAAGGTAGGTTACCAAAAAGATATTAAAAGAAGAGGATTCCACGGGAATATTATTCCATCCCCAACATAAGTCGTGTGGACTTGGTACATAGGAACAAAAATCTACGAGGAATTGTAAAGATCTAT